AATTAAGCCGAGTTTGTGAGTAGATGAAGTGTAAATAAAGAAGGATAGTGCTGTGGAGATATAGAACGAAGCATAGCAGCGGCTAGTCGTGAGTGGCGCCCCGGAGGGGCGCCGACGAACGGCTAGCCGCTGCACTCGAAAGTATCTTAGAGAAATGCTTCAAATTGCTGGCATTCATCAAATAGACTTCAAGAGTCTAGGTCATACGGGTTTGAATAAGAAGTAGCAGTTGCTAAGAACTGAGAAATATATTGAAATGAAGTGTGAGAACGCCTTTTCTGCACGTCTGCGATATTTGAATAGTACATTTGAGGGAAAACATTATTTATAGAACTTACATTCATTCTATCGGAATGCTATTTGAATGAAATAAACGGGGATTTCCTAGGTGGGATGCTTTCTTGCTGATACTGATTCAAATGTCGAAATGCATATTGGTATATTGAAATCACCTATCTAGTCTGATGGCTAATATCAGTAGGAGCTTCTTCCAAGTATAGAAGTTCGATTATAGACCAGATCTAATGTGATTAATTGTAAGCTAGAAGTTCAAGTAAGTCCTATTTTTCTAGCGAGCACTCTAGTAAAGAATATTGTCGGCAGATGTGTCAGTAAGCGAACGAACTTATAATAAAAATTTTAAGGAGTATGGCGCATTTTCGCGAAAGTGTCGTGAATGACCTTTGCTTTATTACCTCTCAAAAGACTGAATATAAGCTCCTTTTTTTGTGTACCTATGGATATCCTCGCCATAGTGTGGTTGCTTAGATTTATTGCAGAGTGCAATGTGAGGGTATCAATTTCATCGGATGCATTCGTGAAAAAACGCTCATCCGGGCCCGCATACAATTATGCGCAATGAGATTGACGTCAATGCCAGCATACACATACCTTCCTACCCTTTTGAAGCATCGGATACTAGCTGGGTGGAAGACTGTCGATTGGAAAAAAAATGGAAAGGGCAGAATATGCAGTCGAGGGTCAAGCGAGTCGCACAGATGAACGTTACTTGTTGTTTAGATTTAGCTGTGCATGATTTAATTGATCAATGTGCTACAATTAGTAATTGTATATCATTTGTGAAAGAAATAATTGATTTTGTTCGTCGATCACCAAAACGTCTTGCTATTTTAAAAGAAATATCCAATCAATTATCAATGTCTTACTCGAATCTCATACCATTATGTCCAATGCGATGGACTACGTGTGCTGAATCATATGATTCATTATTAAAAAATTAAGAACCCGTTAATGTGGCATTGCATTATATATAATTTATTTATTTTTCTTCTGATATATTTTTCAAAAATCCAAGTAGTTATATTATCTTTCAATTGAAGAAGCTATATTTTCACTTGCTGAAGAAAAAGCTGGTCCTGGTATAAAAGCTAATGGTCTTTATGAAAAAATGAACAATTTTAATTCTTTTTTTAGATTCAAATTGGGCCACTTAATATTTTCAGCTACAGAAAAACTTTCACGTACAATAAAAGGTTCAAGTTGTTGTTTACAAGATGTTCTTTGTGCAGCTGAATGTGTTATTCATCATGTGGCTGTGGGTGTGGGTGTTATAAAAGTGAAGAAACACACTCATACCTACACCCACACTCACACACCCACACACCCACACACTCAGACACTCACACACCCACACACCCACACACTCAGACACCCACACACCCACACACCCACACTCACACCCACACCCCTTATATTTTGCTAAGATTCTTTATTAAAAATATGATACTCGATTATACAAAGAAAAACGCTTATGTCGTTTTCTTGAAGAAAGAAAAACGTTTTTTTATGGGTCGTTTGTTATTTTTTGATAACAGTTCATGTTGATTATTGTATGCCCTTTCAAAGTCTTGTGGGTCACTTGAAGTCATCGATATGGTTTCTATCATGTTCGATAGGCTATCGTCTAAATAAAAAGTAACTCTTGTGTTTACTAGATTTTATGTTTTCATGAAAAATCCTTTAGACACTCTTTTTCTCGATCAAGTGCGCAGTGGACCTGTTTACATCGGAGAACATCAACTAGACTTCGCAGCCCAATAGAGAATATGAAAGAAAAAGATACTCTTTTGGGGTTAAAACCAATAATGAAGTTCATGAGAATACGGAGTAGAGGCTGAACTAGGATAATACTACAAGTGGGAAAATCTTTTCTGGGTAGTGCGAGGTAAAGCGGAGTGAAGTTGATTTCCCCAAGGTTCTCTGTCCTAAACTTGTATATTATGTATGGCCACGTAGAGATGTTAGATGTGAATCATCAATTTCTCAACAAGTTCACAACCGTCTCGATGAGCAACATTTGGATACTTAGGTCGTACATAAAGTTCTAAGAACATTAAATGGTAATATAAAGATAATGAGATATTTTCAATTTTATTTTATCAAATCTTGAGAATAGCTGCCATGATTATTTATATAAAGGTCAATCCTTTCTAACAATTTGTTAAAAGCTTTTTTTGACCTCTTTTTTCTAAAAAAATTTTAGCTACCTTGGTAACCACATGAGCTAATTATATTTCATTTGTTTTAAAAATGTAATGGAATTTTGTTTGATCATGTCAGTTGCATTCCAACATTACTATTGATGTGATATCAATTTATTTTAGATAGGTTAGTCATAAGTCTCTTAATGCTAACTGGCTTATTGAAGATGAATTGTCAAATACTGTTGTTCATGAAGACAGATTTTAACCAAAACCTTGTTTAGCATATTCTTCATATCAAGTAATTTTGAGTGTAGATAAAGGCAAGACTATAGATCACAATTATTATATTGAAAATTTCCCGGAGCCTTCTGTTAATGAAATATGGAAAAAAACATGGAAATTAGATTCAAAATGTACAAAATTGCTTAAAGATCATTGCTGACTTCATACTCATCCAACGCTATTAATTCTATGATAGAAGAAGGCATCAATATAATGTCATACCCAACATATTGGCCAGATCTTATACTATATAATTTTTGGCTAACTAATTCTATCGAGTGTAGTTTAAGTGATTAAATAAATGAAACATGACTAGCTCATGTGGTTTCCAAGGTAGTTAAAATCTTTTTAGAAAAAATAGGTAAAAAAACTTTTAATAAATTGTTTGGAAGGATTGACCTTGATGTAAATAATCATGGCAACTATCCTCAAGATTTGATAAAATAAAATTGAAGATATCTCATTATCTTTATGTTACTACTTAATGTTCTTAGAACTTTTTGTACGACCTAAGTAGTACAGTTATATTGAGATAATTTTTTTTGCCATCGTGGACAAGGATCTCCTTTCGATAAAATCATAGCATTTTTAACTTATATTTCGATTGATTATTAGTAAACATGAATGTAGAATAAATCAATGTCTTATTTCTATTGCTAAAATTAATTAAGGTTTTCAGAGCTGCGTTTCTGACTACATCTATAAATGATAGAATTTGCTAGTACTCAAATATTCCGGTAACTTTCCTCGCAATTCGCTAAATAATATGATCATAGGAAATTTCAGAAACCATTCGCACGTCAATTAGAAACACTGAAAGAGTTACCATTCTTGTCGTGTATATTATCAGATGGCATTTTAACGGATATCCATATACAATTGCATTCTGAATCATGTTTTAGAATAAATGCGGAAACTTCGGATTTAAATCCGAGAGTTATGTGTACTTCAAAAAGTGAATCCTACAAATCAATCATCCTAGACTATATGAATATCAAAATTATACTGTCAAATATATCATTTAAAATGTTGATTTATATTGCGCGTTGACAAACCAATAGGATATGGGACTGAATACAACTCAAGTTTGAACTCTGCGCCTTGATTTACTCTAAGAAAGTCGTTTTTCCTATAACTTCATTTCTATTGGTCACTGCACAACTAATAGTATTCCGATGGAAGTGCAGTACACATTCGAGTTCTCCATATCTGAAAACCTCGAAGTATCATCAGTGTAATCGGAAGATAAAGCTCGATTTGTGGATCAATTAGATTGTGGACTAAAATCTAACCTAGTTATCTTTAATTATCTTTGTGATAGGTTAGTCAACGTTCTTGTTTCTTTATGTTTTATATATCATTTTGTAGTACTTGAAATTTTCTATCGAATGGTATATTATAGTTGGGGTTTTAATTGACTATGATAGGAAAAGTCTTTTACGAAAGTCGCGATGGGTCCATTTTTCCACAGAAAGCTATAGAGAAAAATGGGTATTTTTGCAATAACTCAGGAACGGCT